TCCTTACTTGTCAATACACTTAATCTAACGCTTCTCTAGATTTTAAACAGTATCCAGTGAACATTTCATATCCAAATTCTGCTAATGATTGCATCAGGCTACTGATTTATTGATCTACCTCCATACTAACATTCTTTTTCTTCATCTGATTGCTCCAGTGTAGCTATTATTGGAGAACAATCATTTCTGTTGAGAAATGGTAAATACATTTATATTAAAGGCCATTGAATAAAGTGGAATGAAAATAGTGATGGCACATACCTCAAATCCGTTATAAAATTTCAGAATGTGGAATTAATAAATTCTAAACATTTCAAATATCTTTATATATGGATTGGTTATAATAAATTTAGTATAGAAAATAAAGAAATTGAACATATGATAATTTTTGCTAAGAATATTTTTATTCAACACTGTAAGATGCTAAAAAACATATTAACCAAAAATTTTGAGTCGTGTTCCTAAATAAATTCATCAAATCTAGACTCTCTTGTGGATGTCATGCATAGTATCCATGCATTCCGAAATGTCTAAGCTGTCAGCTATATACAACCATTTTCTTTGATAAAAAATGGCTTCAAGCAAAGGAATCAAGCAGCAACAACAAAAATGGGTAGCATATGTAACTAGAAGGGAAAAATAATGATGATGTTGAATTTCCACACTATCATGAACAAAAAGCTTGGAAGGAAACTCCAGTCAGTTCTAGAAAGAGCAATAAAAGTTAGTGGACTTAATTAGTTTATTTTTATCAGTATATGAAAGGCTAAGAGTTTTTTGCCAAATAAACTCACAAAGTGTGGAGTTGTTTTCAAAGGGGCAACTTTAAGATTAGGTCCATGTGGAGACAATAATAAAACTTTTAATTTTTCCTAAAACATTTATGAAAATTTATTGTACTAAACTGTGCACCCTAGTAAAACCAACAGTACTTTGTACCCCCTTACCTGTTTGCAATTCTCCCCAAAGTTTGGTTTTGACCGGTCAATGTATGGCTATTTTAAAGGGTGTGACTGATGGACAGACTAACAGAAGTCACCAAATTTTATATAGAGATAAAAGATAGATTATTCAGTTGGTGCCTCCTATTACATTTGAGTTCTGCAATAATAGTTAATATTGGATCAGTCTTTTCCTTCTTCCAAATGGCTTTGTTGTGGCTGTGGTGCTTGCTGCTAATCCTCATTTACTCACATCTTTGATAATTCATGCAGTGACAACATTCTTACCTTAATCTATCCAATACAGCAATCCCATCATTCAAATTGTTGGCTTGTTTTTTTTGTTTTTTTTGGTAGGTGCAGGGTTAAGTTATCATATCAAGTTCTAAGAGAAAATTTAAAGTATTTCAACATGAAGATGAGGAAAGAATTTTTTTTCCTCATACTGTGAAATCATTAAGACAAGAATCTGCAAGGTGTTAATAACTGACAAATTCATTTTATTGAGTTGTTTCTCTTTAGCTCACGCTAATCTTTGTATGAACTTTTGAGGTGATGGCATAACATTATTACACACCAATTTGCTCAAACTAATGCCTTCATCTTTGTTTTTAGTCACAGTGTTTCTGTGAAGAGGAATTATCATTATTATACACTGATTTATATGGACGAATATCCCCATCTTGGTTGTTACAGTCACAATAATTCAGAAATTTCAGAAATGAGAAATTATCATTGTTATACTATAAACTAATATCCTCATCGTTTGTTGTTATAGTCACAATATTTCAGTTCATTCAGAAATGAGGAATTATCATAATTATACACGGATTTATTTAGACTAGTATCTTCATCTTGGTTGTTATAGTCACAATGTTTCAATTTATTCTGAGATGAGGAATTATCATACACTGATTTATTAAGAATAGTATCCTCATCTTGGTTGTTATAGCCACTATGTTTCAATTCATTCTGAGGTGAGGAATTATTGTTATACACTGATTCATTAAGACTAGTATCTCCATCTTGGTTGTTACAGTCACAATGTTTCAGCCACTGTGGTCTTCTTCAGGAGCTTGTTGCATTGCTAAACTTCCATTAATTTCAAATTTAACCCTTTATACAATCTATAAGGGTAGATTGTTCTCATTCCACTGCCCATGCCAAAAGAAATATCATATCTGTTAATTCTTCCTAATTAATTCCTACCTGAAACCCAGCCAAGTGAAGAGAAACATTGGATAAGCAGATCTAGTTCCCCATGGTTGTGAGTTCAATCTCTGGTTTGAGCAGTACAAAAAAGTCATATAATACTCCAATTCAGCTGAAGAGATATACAACATTAATTAAGAAGACACAGATTAATTCCATTGGCAAAAACAACTTCTATTATGTGTTATATCCCTTCCGGATGTGAGATCATAGCTCTCCACAATTTCCTATCGTTTGTAGCTCTTGGCATTGTTTGTCTTCTTATATCTCTCCTAATCCTTGTTCTACCATCCATTTATGCAAACTTGTTAGCTTATTCATTGCAACCCTCTCTTCCTCTTGCCTTCAATATGTCCTGTGAGTGTCAAATTCTCCCAACCTTCCTTCCTCATTATGTGTCCCAGAAACTTAAACTATCTTTCTGATTTTAAGTTTAGGTATTCAGTATTGTTCCCATTAAGACTTCCTTATTGTTTACATGTTCAGTCAATGGTATTCTCTGCATTGTTCTGTAGAATCTTATTTCTATTGTCTCATCTCTTCTTCATCTGCAAGGAAAATGTCCACCATTTACTGCCATGCAGGAGGATTGATATTACATAGCAGTCAAGCACTGCTTTTTGTTTCTAATGAAATTTTCTTGTCTTTTAATATCTTGTTTAGTTCTCAAAAGGCATCTTTCATTATTTTCCCAATTTCAGTGCCACATTTTCTGTAATTTGTGAAAATAAGGGAGCCCCCCTCCCTCCCCAGCAAAAAAAAAAAAAACTGACATCATTT